CAAAACATTTAACAGAATTTTACATGCTTTAACAACAGAAAAGCACAATTGTTAAAATTACTTCTCAGAGAATAATGGTTGTTCCCAGAACTTAGAAGATGGAATGTGTTAGAGGTTTAGTCAATTCATGCCAATTCAGATATTTTGTATTTAAATTAAGCAAAGTCCATTAAATTTAAGGTTCAGCAAATGTCTTAATTTCTTTCCTTGTCTTCAGTGCATCTCTAAATAGTAATCCTTGCATTTGATATAGCGTCTTATCACATCTTCGACGCGTCTCAATGCGCTTCACAGAATATACTGTGAAGTGAATTGACTATATTTTGTGGGTGAAACGCAGAAATCAATTGCACACAGCAGTGTCCCACAAACAGTCATGGCTTAAGTGACCAAATTATTATGATTTTATCTTTTTGGAGGAATTATTACCCCCGGAAAGCGAGCTATCAATCGACTAACAACTGGGTTCCTATTTACTGCTTGGTAGAGGCGTGTGGAGTAAGGAAACGTGCCCTAAGCTTTGCCCTGCCTGGGAATCGAACCCAGGTCCTCTTGCTCACCCTATGAAATAAGTGAATGAAAAGAACAGAAATGTAAAGCAAGCACTAAAGACATTAGCTTCTTGCAAAATAGCCATAGAAGAGTTTTGAAAGTCACATTGTGTAAATCTTCCAAACAATGAAACTTTACTGCAATCCTAAAGCGTTAAATTGTTTTAATGCTGACAAAAGCAAGACTGATTGAATAATGATTTCACAATGTTCTCATTTCCCCTTATCAACCATGACTACTTTTGAAATTTATAGTCTGAAAGTCACAATAGGGTTGTTGTTTTGGTTAGCTCACTATGTACAACTGTGCAATTCGTTAAGTGGTTTTCAAAATATTTTGGGTCAAAAAAATGATTTTTAAGCTATAATTTTTTTTTCCAAATGCATGTACAGGGTGACCTAAAAGTCGTGAGACCATGACAATGTCTAATAAGTCTTAAAGAAATTATGATATACACATATATATTTTAGAAACAAAAACAGAAGTTGGGAACACTCAGCAGGTCTGAGTGTTTTGAGCAGCTTTTGTGTTTTGTATATATTTTAGATAAGAGGGTAGTTATCACAACTGCATTTCATAGACAATAATGTAAGAACATAAGAATTTGCTAGGCCAAAGAAGACATAGGTCGATGTAGTTCGTCTTCCACCATCCTGGCAATTGCCACCATCCTGGCAGTTGCTTGACATGTTGCATCCCAAACTATATACTGGTTCCTGAAGTATTATTATTGAGCAGAAATCTATCTAATTTGTTCTTGAAACAAACAGCATTTTCTCCTGCCACAAGAGAGCCTGTTCCATATGTTGACAACTCGCTCACTGAAGTAGTATTTCCACAGATTTGGTCTGAATTTACCCCTCCTTCAATTCGCAGGCTGTATCCTCTGGTTCTACTTTTCAGTACAAGATGTGCCCAGTTATTAATCTCACGGATATGAAATGCCACAAAAAAAGCAAGCAGTCGACACCACAGTCAATGCGGTTTTATATCCTGAGCACTACCTCTTATTTGACAACAAAATTTACCTTGCATGACAAGTCAGTATCCTTCATCAAATTCTCCTTCCCCCAAACTAATGAAGCAATCAATGTTAATAACCTGGCCAATATAAAAAAAACTCATATTCCAAAGTGGAATCCCGAAATCGATAGGGCCCAATAGGTGATTCTGTCATATGCATGAGATATAACCTGGACCCATAATTAACACCAAAAAATTAAAACCATTTAAAAACAACTTTGTATTTAATACAGAACCCATAACATAGCAACATCTCAAAGTACTTTACTAAAACAACAACAAGATTGCATTTATAGAGCACCTTTCACGTCGGGAGGACGTCCCAAGGTGCTGGACAGTTGGGTCGGGACCCGAGCAGGGGCGAAATGGTCAGGGGGAGGGAACGAGGAGGGGGTAGAGAGTCGAGAGGTGAAGACACTTTACAGTGTATTCTGTGAAGTGCTTCGTGACATCTCAAGTGATAAGGTGCTAAATCGAAAACAAGGATTATTATTAAAATTGTCTACGAAAGGTTGAAAGCATTTAATTTGTAACAAACTGAGCAGTCGTCAGAACACAACACTACTGGACCTCATTTATACAAAGGTCCAGGTATTTGAGTAATTTGTTTATTCATGAGATGCACTGGCGGGAGTAAAGCATTCAAATTCACAGAGTGCCACCTGTATGAAAAGTACCAACTCAGTTTCCCAAACTTTTATCAGACTTTACCACATTGGTTTCTCTTGACTGTATTGCTGACTTTCCTTACCGAACTTGGTTACCAAAACTGGGGCAGAAAAATATAAACAAAGCTTTCAATGATCATGAGAATATGCTCTATCCAGTTGGAATAGGATCAGTCCGAATTGGCCCAAGAACTCCTTGCTTTATGGAAGTCCAGATGAGATTGCAGATCAAAAAGTAGAAAAGTATGCAAAACTGAACAAGTCCACCAAATTAAGTCTCTGATGCATTCACATCTTTCTGGGACCCAAGCCCAAAACAAGCAACTATGAAGAAATGTTTTTTTTTCTTAATAGATAAAACCAACACCTTCTGCTTCACAACCATTATTGTGATAGCTTGTGCAAAGAAAACTATCCAAGGTCACGTATTCAGATGTTTATATGGCAATGTTTATATATTACAAGTTGTTGTGTACATATTTAATATATAGTAACTGTATATTCTGCTGTTTGGAAAGCTGCCAATGGAGGCACCTGAACTGACTGAATATGTATTTCACCATGAAATTAGTGAATACCTTTAGATATTTTCCACATGAATCAATGGTCAAATTTAGTTTATCACAGCATCAGATCCTCTCAGTGTTTGGACGATATAGCTTAGCATCAATCATATGGGTATTTAAACTGCTGGTGACTGCACAAAGTGTCAGTGAATATTACAATATAAGCATCAACCACTAACCTGTCACTTTAGAGTAGGCACCTGTTATCATGAGACCGGTTGCTTACTTAAACAACTTTTTAAGAATGAAAACACCAAATCCTATGTTGGGCTGATAACAAACTCAATAATACTCTACCATGTTCAACAGATATTTTTTTAAAAAACCTTTACAACAAAACCTTTTTACAATCCCTAGAATAGACAGACTTAAAAATTAATAATGATCATCCTTGCAATCAACACAGCATTGTCCCACGGACATCCAGGAAACAAATGACCAATTTTATCGAGGAGTTTGTTGGCCAGGACACCAAGTGAAACCCCATATATCTTTTTGAATAGGGCTACGAGATCCTTATCATTCACCTGAACATGCTGATTAACGGCTCATTTGAAGGACAGCACAATGTTCCCCTGCCCAACACTAGACTGGCATGTCAACCTAGACTGTATAGATTTAACGTCTCAATGTGGGGCTTGAACCCACAACTTCTGATTCAGAGACGCTACCAATTGAGCCAGGCTGACATCTTAAAAGCCCACACCGCCTGGTTTCTTGATGAGTCCATAGCTAACGTTTAGCTCCCAGCCCATGCATCCGCGCTCGCATTTCAACTGCAAACCTTGTTCGAAGAAGTCAAAGGGAAATTTGAATCTTTGGCACTGGGCCAGATCATCATTTGAGAATAAAAAAACAGGTTATACAACATTGAAGCTGATTTCTCCCCTAAAATCTCCCCCCCCCTCTCCAGTTTCGTCCCATCACTAGTTTAATTCAATTTTAAACCACGTAAGGCAAAAGCAACACCTCTTTCTCCCCCCCCCCCCCTCTCTCTCTCTGCTGCTATTTTTCACCTCTATAAAATTTAAAGGTCTTGTGTCGCATCTGTCACATGATAGAGTCACATGAATGGCTGGAGATTGGCTGTGCGCCTCTCCCTCTCTCTCAATCACTCACACACACACACAAACCCAGTCTCTGGATCAAATTCCCGGAATATTCCAGATCAAAAGAGCGGACAGAGCCGAATCTCCAGTCCAGGTGCCCCCGACGAGAATCAACTGACTGATCCGTCTCCCTTTATTTATTTATTTATTTATTTTGGGGCAGTGGCTCGAGGAATTAATTGAAATGCGCATAAACACACACATATGTACTCACACACATACACATATATATATACACACACACATATACATAAACACACACATATACATACACACACATACATACACATATATACACACACACATACATATATACACACATATACACACTACATATACATCCACACACATGTATATACACAAACATAGATATATTACACACACTATATATACAAACACACATATATACTGAGACACACACACCTATATGCACTTAGACAGAGACACATCTACACACATACATAGACATACACACACACACATATACACACACATACATAGACATACACACACATATATACACACACACACCCGAACCATATACATTTCAGAGAGACAGACAGACAGAGAGGGTAAGAAAACAAGACCAAAACCAAACCCAGAAAAAAAACATCTCATGGTTTTTCTTGTCTTTTATACACACACACACATATATATATATATATAGAGAGAGAGATTAACAAAATAAAGACTCCAAAAATAAAATGGCACAAATAAAATACGATGAGAATGACGATCCCGCGGGTCTTTTATTGTATTTTATTTTAATTTAATTGTTTATTTATGGGCTGCGCTTCTTCACCCCCCGAAAACCACCCCCCAAAATGAAAGGAAGCGCCCGCTGGAAGGGCAGAAGAGAGTCTCGATATCCTCTCTCTCGGGCTCGGGAAGCGGGAAGGTCCCTGACCGACCCCCCGGAGGAGGAGAGAGGGGGAAACCTGCCGGAGCTCGAGCTTTTCCTCAGGGCCCGGGGGGTGGGGAGGGGGGGGGTGGGGGGGAGAGTGAGGTGAATCGTTAATAAAACCACAGTAATAATCCCCCCCTCTCCCTCCCTCCCTCCCACCCACCCATCGAGTACATACTGAGCCTGGGCTGCGACAGGTAATTTCTGGTCACCGCCTGGGCCTGTTCCCGGGCCGCGGCGAAGTGAGGTCCGTTGGCGGCCGCCGTTCTCTCCATCATCACCGACATCTTGGTCGCTCCGGCTCGCGCTGCCTCGTGTCATGTGACCCAACCCCCCCTCCCAAACTCGCGCGCGCACGCACGGCCGGACGCGGCGTGCGGCTCCACGTCCTGCGTCACCGCCGCAGAGCTGGACGTCTTGCCTCGCGAGCCCCGCTGACGTAGAGGGAGCGGTGGGGGGGGGCGGGATTGGAGTGCGCGTGCGCACTTGGAGCCCTTTCCTGCTCCCATGCACACTGCCACTGCTTGATGATAATAATAATAATAATAATCCTTGCATTTGATATAATAATAATCCTTGCATTTGATATAATAATAATCCTTGCATTTGATATAATAATGATTCTTGCATTTGATAATAATAATCCTTGCATTTGATATCATAATAATCCTTGCATTTGATATAATAATGATCCTTGCATTTGATAATAATAATAATAATCCTTGCATTTGATGATAATAATAATAAATAATGATCCTTGCATTTCATAATAATAATAATAAATAATGATCCTTGTATTTGATATAATAATGATCCTCGCATTTGATAATAATAATCCTTGCATTTGATATAATAATGATCCTTGCATTTGATAATAATAATCCTTGCATTTGATATAATAATAATCCTTGCATTTGATATAATAATGATCCTTGCATTTGATAATAATAATCCTTGCATTTGATATCATAATAATCCTTGCATTTGATATAATAATGATCCTTGCATTTGATAATAATAATAATAATCCTTGCATTTGATATAATAATGATCCTTGCATTTGATGATAATAATAATAAATAATGATCCTTGCATTTGATAATAATAATAATAAATAACGATCCTTGTATTTGATATAATAATGATCCTCGCATTTGATGATAATAATAAAGAATAATAACCCTTACATTTGGTATAATAATAATCCTTCATTTGATATAAAAATAATAATCCATTTATTGGATACATTAATAAGAATAATAATCTGTGCGTTTGATGTAATGATAATAATAATCCTCGCATTTGATATCGCATTGTATCACGTCTTCGAGACGTCTCAAAGCGCTTCACGGAATATACTGTAAAGTGAAATTGACTGTATATTTGTGGGCGAAACTCGGCTGCCGATTACGCACAGCGGTGCCCCACAAACAGTCATGGATTAAAATACCCAATTATTTTTATTTATTCATTTTTTGAAGGTATCATTTCACTCTTTGAGAATAATCATAATCCTTGCATTTGGCCCGCTTTCTCTCCATAGCCCTGCAATCTTGTCCTCCCCAAATACCTATCTACTTCTCTCTTAAAAGTTGTTATTGAATCAGCTTCCACTACCCTTTCAGGTAATGCATTCCAGATCCCAACAACTCGCTGGGTGAAAAATGTTCCCTAACCTCCCCTCTGTTTCTTTTAACAACTATCTTAAATCGGTGTGCTCAGGTTACTGACCCACATGACAGTGGAAACAGTTTTTCCCGGTTCAACCTATCAAATCCTCTCATGATCTTGAAAACCTCTATTAAATCCCCTCTTAATCTTCTTTGCTCTGTGGAGAATAATCCTAGTTTCGCTAACCTCTCCTCATAACTAAAGTCCTTCATTCCTGGTACCATCATGGTAAACCTCCTTTTCACCCTCTCCAATGCCCTAACATCTTTCCTGAAGTGTGGTGCCCAGAACTGAACGCAACTGAGGCCTAAGCAGCATTTTATAAATATTCAACATAACAACAACAACAACAAAATTACATTTATAGAGCGCCTTTCACGTCGGGAGGATACCTCCTGACTTTTGAATTATATGCCTCTATTTATAAAGCCGAGGATTCCGTATGCTTTTTGAACAGCTTTATCCACCTGTCCTGCACCTTCAGCGATTTGCTTACTTGGACCCCCAGGTCTCTCTGTTCATTTGCCCCCTTTATGATTGTACCATCTAGCTTATACTGCCTCTCCTCATTCTTCCTACAAAAATACAACACTTCGCATTTCTCCACATTAAACCCCATCTGCCATGTTTCTGCCCATTTTACCAGTTTTACCAATCTGTCTAAGTAGCGCGCTTTAACGTGTAAATAAAAAGTCCACCAAAGAAACAAGACAGTTTTGCTTGTTTTAAATAAAAGACAATAATTAAGGTTTATTGCAATTATCAGGGTGCATATTTGAGAGCTGCACAGTACTCCAGCAGTAATCTATCCAGCCAAGGGTGTGCGCTACCCAGATGCTAAATTGTTCAGGGTGGAAAGTGAGTGGCATGACTGGAAGAGGGCAAATGCATCCTTTATGTCCCAAGTATTTAATAAAAAGCTAGAAGGGAGAATTGAACAAAGTTCAGAAACGCCTTAAAAACAAGGTTGTGATTTGCTGTGGGTTTGTTGTCACAGAAACCAGTCCTGTAGAAATGCCAATACCTTTCACTTGGAGGGAAAGAAAACAATTACTGCACTACATTGTGTACCTACTTATCGGTAAACACCCAGAAGTTTTGTGGTCCTGATTTATTCCTTCTGATTTTAATTGTTTGAAGTGGGGGAAAGATATAGCATTCTCACAAAAAACACAAGAATGTTTCTGAAGTGCAAAAATAGAACTACGTGGCAGTTAACTTATTTTTGGTCAGCCAATGGTCTGACACACACAGAAATCCTTTGCATGTTTAAGAAAAAAACAGTTCCAGCTACCAAGCACTCAGAGAAGCTGAGTTTCCGTTTGCCAGTTCTGCACCGCCCAACCTTGTTGTCAATGGACAGTGGAGTCCTGTAGCTCAGTGGTTAGAGCACTCGCTTTGCAAGCGAGAGACCTGAGTTCAATTCCAGGCAGAGGGCGAAACCTTGGGCAAGTTTCCTTACTCCACACAGAGCCTAATAATAATCCCTCCAAAACAAAAAAACAAAAACAAAAAAAAATCGGTCATTTTCAATCTACGACTGTTTGTGGGACATTGCTGTGCGCAATTGGCTGCCGTGTTCGCCCACAAATATACAGTCAATTCACTTTACAGTGTGTTCTGTGAAGCGCTTTGGGATGTCCTCCCGACGTGAAAAGCGCTATATCAAATACAAGGATTATTATTATTAGTATTATTAATGCCCAGAGAACACAGGTGTGTACTGGCAGAAACCAAGGCATTAGGGCTTGGGCATACAACCAGCAGTTTCACAAGACAAGAAGACGAGAGAACAGTCACTAAAATAACAGCCTCTAGTCCTCCAAAGTTCTTCAATCTAAAGATATGGATAGAATCTCTTGAGTGAGAGGGAAGTATACAGATAGTTCATTGTAATCCATGCTACATTTCTAAATGCCTATCACATTCCTGTGGAAATCATCTAGAACAACAACAACCTGCATTTATATAGCGCAGTGCTTACCACTCATCTATCACTTATTTGGAAATATCTATACTCTTCTGCTTCAGGAAAAATATATGGCACATTAACTCTGTTTGGTCTGTCTGATGTATTTGTTTTAAGAAGGAACTAGTCATCTGATTTTGAATTGCTGTGGTGATCATTACTGTATTTTATTATCTTTAACAGAACTTTGAGACATCTCCATTTGAAATGGAGTCCTGTAGCACGCTCACCTCTCAAGCAAGAGAACCCGGGTTCAATTTCCGGGTGGCGCAAAACCTTAGGCAGCTTTCCTTACTCCACACGCCTCCGTTTACCTAATGACTTCTTTGATTTGGAACCTTGTTTCTGTTGACGAACTTCAGTAAGTAGGAACCCAGTTGTTAGTTGATTGGCAGATTGCTTTCCAGGGGTAATAATTCCTAAAAAAAATGTAATCACTCAATCCACAACTGTTTGTGGGATAATGCTGTGCACAACTGTAAGTGGGATACTACTGTGCACAGTTGGCTGCCTCATCTCACCCACGGTCAATCTACTTATATATTGCGAATCACTTTGAGACATCTCAAAGGTACTATAACAAATGCAAGTATTCCATCTTTGGTAAATTTAAAATCACAAAGGTACTGACATCAGCATTGCTTAGGTGTGTGGGATTCAATAACTCCTGTGGATTTCATTGTCTGTGGTCAATAGGAGGAATAATTCTATGTAACCAATGGTACATGAATGTCTTTAACAGCTCATGGAATTGAATATTTCATCTTATTAAGGGATTTGTTGACTTCAAAGAAACTTGCACCTTCAAAGCACTTTCAAAACTGGCGCAGGTGCTAGGCAGCCAAGGTCAGTTGTGTGTGTTGTAAACAAGGAATGGATTTGTGGTTTCAAGGGCTATTTTGATGGAACACATTGAATTACCTTCTTCGCGGATTATCAATAGATCGAATTCAATGTTAGCTTGTAGCTGTCGCTGCTCTCATGCTGTAAACAAAATGACCTTAAACAAAAAAGAATGCAGAAATAGCTGAGAGGCAAAATGAGGAAATTAAGGTCATTTTTGAGTTTGGGGAAGTTGCTGTAACAACACTCTTTTTACAGATTGGATTGAAAGCAATTTATAGACTTGACATTATCATTGAGATGAAAATGAAAGTGACAGCAGTGATGGAAGTCTGCCACCATATTAAGTCAATTTCATTTCAAATTTCACAGATGAGGTCAAGATTCAAGTAACAGTTAAATACAATGGTCAACTAATAGAAATCGAGGTAGATACAAGTATTCCAATTATACTCATTTCAGAGGATGTTTAGAGATGTAAAGATCAACAACAACAACAACTTGGATTTATATAGCACCCTCCATGTCGGACAGCATCTCAGAGCGCTTTAAATCAGATTCAATGTGAAAAGTAATAAAACCTTGCAGGAAGTTTACAAATCTTAAGACCAAGCAATGAGGCTCAGGGATCTGACTATTGATCTAACATTTGTCAGTTGTTTAGTCTAAAGGCCCTTCATTTTTTAGCTGAAACCAAATGAATATTATCTCCCTTCAATGGAAAAGGTTCATTAGTGTTCATTCAGAAATTTGAGATTGTGCAACTACTTTAATCTCATCTCCCTCTGACAGATAGAGAACTACTTTACAATTCCATACAAATTTACGTTCATATAGAGTCTTTCATATTAGG